GGGGACAATTTGCATATTAGCCTTTTATTATATAGGATTACATAGGATGTGGCAAAAGAGGCTTTGCAGGTGTAGTTAAGTTGAGGATCTTCAGATGGGGAGAGTATCCTGGATTATCCAGGTGGGACCAATATAATCACAAGAGTTCTTATAAGACGGTGGTTCTCAACCTTGGCTGCACATTAGAATCACCTGGGAGTCTTTTTAAAATCCTGATTTCTGGGCCTCATCCTCCGGAAATTCTGTTTCTTTGTTATGGGGTGGGGCCACAACATTAGTAACAAAGAAACAGAATTTCCGGAGGATGAGGCCCAGAAATCAGGATTTTAAAAAGATTCCCAGGTGATTCTAATGTGCAGCCAAGGTTGAGAACCACTGACTTAGAACAATGCTCGGCAGGAGATCTGTGTGCATTAAATAAAATAAATAAATCTTCAGTGAGCTAGGAAAAGGAAAGGACAGTCACTGACTTATACTAGTCCTATGCAAAGTGTGAGCTGGGAACCGAGTATTAGGTAACTTGATGAGTTCCATGTACCTGACAATATGGAATCACACTCAATTTAATGGACTGTTCTGCTTCCATTGTATTTCAAGTGAAGAGTTCCTTTCTCATGGCCAGCCAGGCCACTTTTCCTTCTCTCAAGTTAACTGACTGGAGGAAAATGCATCAGTAGTTTCAAAGAAAAAGAAAAATCGTGGGATTTGGAATATTTGTAAGTGGCAGGATGTCGATTTCCCTGACTCCAGATTCCAGGTTGTTCCTGTTGCTGTCTTTGAGCTTCCTCCCTCCTTTTACTGCCTTGGAAGTCCCAGCAACAACAATGACTCTCAAAATCATTATTATGAGTCTAGCGAGTTCTACTCAATACTGTCCCAGGCCCTGTGCTAGGAGCTTTACACGCACGTTCGTCAGCATCCTCACAAGGACCCTATGATATTCGGACTACTAGCCCTCACTGCAGAAATAAGGCGCAGAGAGGCGAAGGCACAGGCCCACTGCTAGGGGAGCTGAGACTTGAACTGAAATCTGTTGGCTTCCAAGTCCAACAATCTTCCACGTTCCCACATCCAGATCTTCCCCGCCAAGCACAAACATCATCATCACACCTAACAATAATAGTATATTAACGAGTGAGCACAGTGCCAGGCGCAGAGCGAGGGGCTCCGCCAAGCGCGAGCTGACTTCTCATTCCAAACCAGAAGGAGGAAGCTATAGTCAGATACTGATCCCCCACTCTACTGAGGAGGAAACTGAGGTTCAAAGAAAAAAGTCGTTTATCCAGGACCGCAACGCAGCGCCAGTGAGCCTGGATGCCATCCATCCCCACCGTTTCCTGCCCAATCCCACCTCTCCCGGCCCACGCCTCACCTGGCCCT